AGGAGGTGCTGGATGTCCCATCCCCAATTTCAGAGCAAACCTGAGGAAATTTTTTGTGTCCTCCCCCGAGGACACGATCTGGATGGCAAAGGAAGAGAGGGAGCGGTGCAGGAAGCTGAACCCCCATTCTAAAAACCTCAAAAATCTATTTTTCACCCCATGACCAATTATTATTCCACTTAAACTCTCTTGACTTGTAATTCCTCATATAAAGTTGGTAATTATTTTTTCCAAGGGCTAAATCAAAGGCACGGGGGGGCCTTGGGCTTTGTGCCAAGGTCTCTGAGCCCCTTGGCGGGGTCTCGAGTCCTCCAGGGCAGACACAGGGATTTCCAGAGGGATTTCCAGAGGGATTTCCAGAGAATTTCAAGAGGAATTTGCAGAGAATTTCCAGAGGAATTTCCAGTGTTCCCACAGCATCCCTGATGGAGTTCCTCACCTCTCTATCATGTGCTCCAGGTTGCAGAGCTTGCCCTCGCCCGAGGACACGATCTGGATGGCAAGGGAGGACAGGGAGCGGTGCAGGAAGCTGAACTCCCATTCTAAAAAACCCCAAAAATCTCTATTTCACCCCATGACCAGCTAACTATTATTCTACTTATTCTACAACTCTTGACTTGTAAATCCTCAAATAAAGTTGGTAATTGCTTTTTCCAAGGGCTAAATCAAAGGCACAGGGGGGCCTTGGGCTTTGTGCCAAGGTCTCTGAGCCCCTTGGCGGGGTCTCGAGTCCTCCAGGGCAGCCAGAGGAATTTGCAGAGGAATTTGCAGAGAATTTCCAGAGGAATTTCCTGGGTTCCCACAGCATCCCTGATGGAGTTCCTCACCTCTCGATCATGTGCTCCAGGTTGCAGAGCTTGCCCTCTCCCGAGGACACGATCTGGGGAGAGGGAGCGGTGCAGGAAGCCTCGATGCCTCCTGAACCCCCATTCTAAAAAACCCCAAAAATCTCTATTTCACCCCGTGACCAACTAACTATTATTCTACTTATTCTACAACTCTTGACTTGTAAATCCTCAAATAAAGTTGGTAATTTTTTTTTCCATGGTGTAAATCAAAGGCACAGGGGGGCCTTGGGCTTTGTGCCAAGGTCTCTGAGCCCCTTGGCGGGGTCTCGGGTCCTCCAGGGCAGACAGAGGGATTTGCAGAGGAATTTCCAGGGTTCTGACACAACCCCAGTTTCAGAGCATCCCTGATGGAGTTCCTCACCTCTCGATCATGTGCTCCAGGTTGCAGAGCTTGCCCTCGCCCGAGGACACGATCTGGATGGCGAGGGAGGACAGGGAGCGGTGCAGGAAGCCCCGCGAGTGCAGGAACCTCAGCGCATCCAGGATCTGCAGCAG